GAGTAGAGAACCAGAACCAGTGCGGATCTTGAGAGGAAAAGTGGTGGAGCGAAGAAGGGGAGTTGAATAGAGTTAAGGATGGCCTGAATCTACTTCCTCTCGGTGGTAATGAGGTGTTTTCTGGAGGCTGCTTGTTGTGGTGGTGGTGGTGTGGCCGCCGTTGTCTTGGGCTAACACGACAGCGGGGATTCGACCTTGGAGTCTGTCTATCGGGAGACTTTGCGGCCAGTGTACTCTCTGGAAATGGTGGATCATGTGGTATGATCATCATCTTAACCGCTCATCCTCTTTCGCAATTCCTTTACAGATTGAGAAACTTTAGACATCATAAAATAATATCATGGATCTCTTTCATATTAAAAATGGGAAAATGATCTTAGACTAATTTTTTCAAAAAAGAATATATATTAAAAAGGTACTAAAAATTAAAATATATTAATTTTATATATTCATACTACTATAATATTACTAATCCGGGAGTAATAAACAAACACTTTTTATCCTATATCTCAACCTAATATCACACACTAATAATTTTCTCTCTCAATCTCACTAAACCCTTATTCCCTCATTCTATGAGCCAAATAAACATGGTCAAATTATTTATACCGTGTGTAAATAGAACTCCCGATAACTAATCGACCTATTACACAATCTATCTTAAATATGTATCTGAAGACTTTATATATTACATAACTATATATCTCTTTGCGGTGTTTGGCAAGAAAAATTTTAGCTTATTTTAGGTTAAAATTCACAAAAAGACAAAAATAAGATAAATAACTAATAAAACAAAACTCACATCAAATTCATTATCATTTCACTTTTTCTTTCACAAATATCACATCCAACTATAAAAAATCCAATCATCTTTCTAAATACAAAAAATTTAGCTACTAAAATAGTTAAAACTAAAATAGTCTACTAAAATAACTTCTCAACACCCACTTTGTTTCAACAACATTTTTATTTAATAAAGCAACATACGCGGTCACTTTCACTCATATAATTATAGGACAAGTAATACAATAAATAAATAAATAAAAATTACAATACAATATAATACAAGCACTCTTTTACCTCACATGTTACATTGCATATTACACAGGACAATAATATATTATAATACATACTCGGCAAACATTTCACTCTTTATTTCTCTGTCTAAACCAATACATTCACACAATTAATATCAACCCAATTCATCCTATCATCATATGTATTTGGTTGAAATTTAATAGAAAACTAATTTAAAAAATAAACACAATTTTTTTTTAATTTTAAAAATTATTTACCTCAAAAGAGAGAGAGAGAGAGAGAATAATATGAAAATATTAATATTTAATCATATGAAAAATATTTTTAACATTATTCTTTCATTTTTTATATTTTAATCTTATAAAAAAAAGAAGGAAAAATGTGAGAAAATAAGAAATCTATGACTTTAGTAGAGTTCTTTTGAGGAGTGTGTGCTGCTTCGGTTTGCATGGAGGAGGTGATGGAGACACTACAAGAATTAACACTTTAGCAAACAAAAATTGGTCGCTAAAAGTCTATTTTTGTCGGCAAAAGTTATCCGCGACCAATTTTTTTGGTCGCTACTTGGTCGCCAATTGAGGGTGGCAAAAGTAATTCGCGACCAAAATTTTGGTTGGTCGGCAAAAGTTGGATTTGCCGACTAAATTTTTGGTCGCTAACGATTTAATTACCGCGACTAATTTCTTTTGTCGCAAAACACTTTGGTCGCGAAAAGTCGCCTTTTGCCGACAAATTTCTTAGTCGCCAATTGACACATTTCGCGACCAAAAATTTTGGTCGCGCGTTGTGACATTCCGCGACCAAAAATTTTGGTTGCCAATCGTGACATTCGCGACCAAAAAATTTTGGTCGGCCAATCGTGACATTCCCGCGACCAAAAAAGGTTGGTCGCCAATTGTGACATTCCGCGACCAAAAATTTTGGTTGCAATCGTGACATTCCACGACCAAAAAATTTTGGTCGCCAATCGTGACATTCCCGACCAAAAAGGTTGTCGCCAATTGTGACATTCGCGGACCAAAAAAAAGGTTTTGGTCGCCATTTGTTACTTTTCGCGACCAAAACTTTTGGTCGTCAAAAGTGAGTTTCCACGACCAAGAGCTGTTTTGGTCGGCAATAGATGTATTTTTTGCGACCAAACTTTTGGTCGGCAATTGTCATTTTTTGCGAAAAAAAAATTATTTATTTGTCGCGACTAATAAATTGGTCGCCAAACAGAAAACATACACCTGTAATTCCTAATAATTCATCTCAAATCATAATAAAACCTATAATTTTAAAGCATCATTCAAATTAACTAATCATTAACATTCAATCACAATACATAATTCATTAACATTCGACACATACAACTATTCTAAGTTTTCATTCACAAGTCACATCATCTAGCATAACAATTTGAAACATAACTATTTGTTATCCATGCGCAGCTATCAACAAATAAAACTACTAATATTTGCTATCACAAGTAAGGTGCTTAGCAGCCGCTTTAGCATCCTATTATGTTCCTAATGCACTCCACTGCTCCTGATTTGTCATTACCTGATACCAAAAGTCCAGTCTGTTCAGAGTCTACATTACAGGAAAAAAGAGAAATATACACACAAAAAAAAACAGGTCCAATAAAACCAACACAGAATGGGACACAAAACTCTGTGTTCCTAGCATCATGATGATATGATACAGATCAATTACAACACCAAATTTCACAAGCAGCAATAGCTAGAAAATGTTTAATATCAGTTGAATCAACACAGACGTGAACTGATATGTACCAATGATAACAAATGATTTAGTAAGAGAATTTTAAAATTTGTAGACAAAGTAAAATGTATGTATATATATATATAATCACAATCTACAATATAAACAAAAATTAACACCAAATGACCCATAATACAGTGATGACGAAGTTTTTACCTATTCCGCTAGTTGAAAGCTCATGACTACTTGATATGAACTCATCAACTTAAAAAGGGCAGCTAGTGTTGTCAATAAACATTGCCTAAACTTGGATTCAGGTATTGATGGCATAGATCACTGTAGGTTAAGTCTGGAACTGGAAGATATTTAAAAACTAAATCAGAACCAGCATGGTTTATGCTAAAACCAAACAATGTATGCAGAGACATAAAAGTATACTACTACTTTGCATATTGGAAGGTTCCAGGTCTGCCAATTTAAATAGTATCTCAGTGAGAATGTCGTTCAATGAAAAAGTGTCTGCGTGTGTGTGTGTTCATTCAACCATTATCTTAAAATTTTTTATCCCAAAACTCTATTATCTACTCTATCAAGGGCTATATGCTCACATAATTAAATAATTCATATATTCCGCTTCTACCATTTCCATTTACGGTGATCATCACTTGTAGATGACTCAAGGTTATAATTTTGCATGTAATACAGTGGCATCAAAATGATAACCATAATGATATACTTGGTTCTATTGATCTTAAGGAAATGTAACACACAAACCATGCCTAGGCCAAAGAAGTCCAAACCCACAAACTTATCTCCAAAAGAGCCTGACTCACGAAAGAGTGATGGAGACTTATTGGCTCACTAGGGTGGGACAACTACTGGATGTGGGCCGAATACACTTTTCTGTCCTTTGATCTTAAAGAAGTATAAAAGAAACAGAGAGAAACCATATCGGAACAAAAATAAGTCCAAACTCATGCACTACCTCCAGAAGGGCATAACACTAAGATGACTGGAGAGTTATAAGACCCACTAAAGTGAGACAACTATGCGATGAGGGACGGGATACACTTTTCTTTCTTTTGTTCTTAAGGAAATCTACAGATTGATAAACTACACCTGGCCCAAAGAAGTCCAAACCAACACACAAACACAATGATATGCAAGTATCTTGTTTCTTTTCACTTTGTTTATCTCCAGCTGCTTCAGTAATGAATTCAATTGATAATAGAATGCAGCAGCATACCTCCTGCAAAATATTTTTCAAGACAGAATGGGTTACTGAGAGAACCTCCTGCATAAAGAAGCTTTGTATCTTTTCAGCAAGACCAGAAACATCCCCAATCAACGCATAAGCATCAACCACCTATAAAGCATTGAAACACTCGTATCAAGAAAAAAATGAAAACAACAAGAATGCTGAACAACAATTGTTACTTTCTTTTTTCTTTTTACCATTGTATTGGCTAAGTTACTTGTACTGTGTTTCATGTGTGTGTGTAAGCAATGGACATGTGTGTCCCCCATGCATGAGAAGTGTGTCTTGGTCTAAAACTAATAAAAAATAATAATATAACACATTTGACTATATGCCCAACACATGTCAGGAAGTGTCCGATGAGCATTGGTTTGGACATGGACATGCGCCTTGGAAGTGTCCATGCTGGTAACAAGTCCATTGAAAAAACCAACCACGTAATGAATGCATAAAAAGATGTCAGAGAGAGCAGAACACATCAAACATTGCAACAATGATTAATCCCCAATCAATAATTACTATAAGAAAAGAATTGTAACAATTATTTAATAATATCCAGTTTTGACTATTGACTAATGATATCTAGTACTGAATATTCCAAAAAAAAGTAAAACCAAAAGAATTTTAACCTAGAATGATTGAAGCAGAAATTGCATTCCTGATGCAAAATCCAAAAAATCAAAAATAAAAAGACCAACATGTGGGAAACAGAGTATAAAAGCAAAGAAAGAATTGAGAATTGTAACCAATTTCCCCAAGAAATAAAATTGACAAGACCAAGCATCTTCTGGTTGATATAAAGTATACGGATCATTATACAGGCCGACAAGTTGAACATCTCAATAACAATACCAGATGATGCAGTTAAATCACCATACATGTTCCAAAGTACATTTCCTTATATTACAAAGAAAACCAGGTATCAATTTATAAAAAAAAATAATTACTGTCCTAATTAGGTCAACAATTGATCCAAACCTAGAGCCTGCTTGAGGGCTAATCGAGCAAGGCAATTTGGAGCTTTTTGGAAAATAAAAACGTGCTCAAGCTCGAGCTGGAATCAAGCCCACTTCATGTGGGACCTTCTGGAGTTGAAACTCCAAGAATCCACCTAACCAACTCACTTGGGTTGTTATACATGCCAATACAAAAGTTGTACATAGTTTCTAAGAATCCCATACTTCTTTTAAGAATTAGAAGATCCACAACCTCCATATTTAAATTGCAAATGAAAATCTCATTCCACAAGTAATTTAGTTTAATCTTTCTACACCTATATCAATCTTTAAAATGGAGAGTAAATTAAAAATTTGGAAAAAAAAAATGCAAAGTGTTGTAGAATTCTAAAGAAACAATGTAAAATTTTAGATGAGAGAAGACGGCAAGACAATTCCATGACTATAATGATGGATTTTGTTCTAGCAAACGTGGGTGTTTTGCAATGTTTAAGGTGGTATGGATTGAAGCAAATAAGATCGTTAGCCATAAGACACCATTTTGGTTTCCTAAAATAAATTATTGGCAAAGTCCAAGGATGTAGTGAGTGGTGATGGGTGGTGCATGGTGGTAGAAGACAACAATGGTAATTGTTGTGGTGATGGTTATAGTGTGATCACTTGCTAAAGATGAAATTTTATCAGTCTTAGTCTTGGTTCCGTAAAGATGAAATTTTAATATTCAAAGGTCATGTTTTCTAAGTTGTCCTCAATAACTATTCAAGACAATCAAAATATTTTCAATTTTGAAACCAGACTCTTTTCATCCCCTCTTCCAACCACACGACCAAATAAAATAAAACTTGTAATCCAGCCTCCAAGTAATGTGATATAATAAGATTTAGTTGTCTATTAGAATGGCCAGCTGTGCATGAGCCAACCATAAGTGCTTAGTTGGGTCTTTAGTCTACAAGTAGGCGGTTTAGGCTTATTATAATCAGTTTGTGACATTTTGAGATTGTATCTATTGAGCTAAGTGCTCTTTATCCCTAATTTCAGCATTTTCTCTCTTGTGGAATCCAATTCCTAAATTGGTTTCATCATTATGTCTCTACCTATAAGGGGTCTGTTTAGTATAGGTTCTCGTAAGTTGAAAGCTAATCATCATAACGAAGAAACTAAAAGCATCCTTCTCTCAACTTTTCAATAATCAACTTTTTCAGCTTATTTAATGTATTTTTGCCTTATAAAATGTAAGTAGCTACACCGAATACTTTGGCACAAATTCTCATAATAAATAAAAATTATAAGTAGCCCCAATAAATGGCCTCAAGGCCATTTATATCCATTCTTATAAAAAAAATAAAAAAGTCATTTATATTCTTTTCATCACATTACACCTCATTTCATTTACATCTGTTTCGTTTTTCTAATAGCTGCTCCCTCAAGTCTACATGTTCAAAGAAGTTACATGCAACTATGTGCTAATTGAGAAAATTAATTGTGGTAATTTTTTTTGAAATACCTCAAGACACGGTGATGCAGGTACATGAGTTGCCACACATATTTTTACTAAGCACACCACTCTTATCATAACTGCAACAAAAGTGTACCCAAACGACCTAATTTGCTGATGATTTTCGAGGAGTAGGTAAAGAAACCCAATTTCCAATCCAACCAATAAAATTCAGTCAAACCCCAAATCAACACTAGTCAAGGTAAAAAATAAATAAATAAACAAAAAGATAATTTTAATTAGATGCATAATTCCCTCTAAGTTCACCAGCTCAATTTAGTCTATTAATCGATATGCAAAATAGAAACCCAAGTCAACACTGAATTCAACTATCTACCAGCTTAATACTCATCCATACTATGACAGAAAGCAAGTAAAGGACCTATATTTTTAGAAAAAATATTAGACAGACCTTTGATATTCCATATACTATCCTTACTTTTTCTATAAGAACAATCTCTACTCATCCACATTTATTTTCTAACCTGTTTCCATGGCAATAGAATACACAAGGCAAAGCCTTTCCTTCTCGACGAACAACAGGCATGTAATGACTACATTGGAGAACATCTCCTCGACTGTTTGTAACCTGCAGAATGATAAAAGGCCAAAAGCTAGTGAGGAATTTGAAGAATTTGAAGATGAGGAAATAAATTTAACATGATCAAGGATGCGTAGAAATATAACAGACTAATAGTCTTCAACAAAAGAAAAAGAATAATGACAGGAATTTCTCTATAAATTGTTAGCAGGTCTAATGCAATCAGAAATTAGTTGATTCGAAAATTGTTGACATAATTAAAATTGAGATTACGTGAATGCAATCACAAAATTAGTTGATTCGACAAAATTGACCAGTTGTGTGATGTGTGATGGCCTTGTTAGCAGGTCTAATTATGATAAAAACATGATATTGATCGCAACAAATAAATAACATTATGGTCACTTATGATTTAACCAAACAAAACAAAAACAAGAGAAATGTATTTCTCACTAACAGTCCAAATAAATTATACTCTGTCAAGTCAAGATGAATATTACACCATGAAGCAGCTCAAGCAAAAATAATAATATTTTCTAAGAAAATTCTAAACACAAGGGCTTTTTATTAGAAGGCCTCTTAACAAAGGACTTCCCATGCAAACCATCCCAAAAGAGGTGCTCCAAATTCAAGATTCCATGTAGAATGGGCCCCATAATTCCTAACGTTCAACAATGACCACACCAACAAAAAAGAAAAGGCAATTAAAAATTACCTACCAACACAATGCCACTAAGATACATGAAGGGGACAAAAACCAAAACCATATATGCCATATAATAGATTTCAATATAATGACTTGCTATGAGTAGAAAACATAAAGCCAAATTCAGTGTTGTCTGTACACTTGCCTTCAACATCATCTTCATCTTTGTCATCATCTTCATCGTCATCATCCTCATCATCTTCATCTTCAATCACTGGGTTCTCAAGCTGGAACAAATTTACTCAACAATTACCAACCATATAAATAATTTGGTGAGCATCAAAGCGAGTGGCAGAAGTTCTGGACAAAATCCATTAATCATTGCCAAGTATATGATGCCCCATCACTAGAATAGCATAAGCAGTGAAAGGCAATAGATTAATAATTTTAAAAGTTCATAATCCTTCTCATCAATATCTAATATTAACGGAATTTTTCGAAAACCAATTGTAGAGATTGTTAACATTTTCTAAAGGTAACCAAAAAAAATCCTATCACTGAAAGCGCAAGATCCCATTAATAAACAAGCCTAGTGTCATCAGAGAACTGAACCAGTTGGTTGAACTAGTCCAACCACAAACCAAAGAATCCACCAGTTTGGTTGACTTAGTCGGAAGTTGGAACATTTAATGATTTAACCAAAGAATCCCATTAAATATATTTTTTGATAAGTAAATTTTTTTTTAAATCAAATCATGCAATCATACCGATCTTTTTTCAATAAATAAATAAATCTATTGATTGAATCTGAGTTGAGATCTTATCTTGTAAAACTGGACATGGGTCTTCCCCTCAGAAATAGAATAATTACTAAAAATACTGAACAAAAAAAAAGGGGGCTTTAAAGGGAATGAACCATGAACACTCAAACCATAATCACTATATCCAGAGGCATGTATAGATCTCGAATCATCAACTGTACAAAAGATTCAATCGAAAAAGGGTAGTAGGCAAAAAGTAAATAGATGGATATTTGGGATCGAATTGAATCATGAAAATATATACAAAACCAATCTGAATAGGAAAAACAAGAATCAAAACTGGTTCTTAAACTGGGCAAAAAACTGTTTCCAAAACTATTTTCTGATGTTTGGTATAATAAATACGAAAGTCAACAAAAAAATATTCATGGTCAATAAAAAACAAACATGAAAATATTTTTCAATTTTAAAATGTGATAAAAGTTTCTCCGCTCTACCACCGCCGCCGCCACACCAACATCACTACGGTCACCGCCAACCATCACCGCAGCCGCCACCTTCATCCCACCACCACCAACAAACATAGGAAAAAGTTTTTCGTACAAAACGTTTTCCATGCAAACAAACTAAGCATAAATGATTGTAGATCAAGAATGTAACAAACTTCAATTAATAAAAACCCCATATATATAAACACATACAGCACAAAGCTTATAAGTGGTCTTCACAGCAGCCCTCAAGTTTTCCAAAGTCTCTTGGTGATACTCAGGATCCCCCAACGAAAAGTCGAATCGAGCCACTGCAAACCACACATTCACAAATCATTACTCAAATCCCCCAAACTTCAAAGTAAAATCAAAACCCTGTTCCACACAAGATCAAAGATATGCAACAATTGTAACACATAAATACAAATATTTACAGAGAAAATTTATAATACCAGACATTCCAGCTTTAAGGCAACCAGAGATGACCTCGACAGATCGAGACCTGGGGCCCAAAGTCCCAACGATCTTTGTCGTTGCGGGGAAGAAATTCTGTGAAATCAATAAACATCGTACAAGTTCCAAATCAAAGTCACAATCATATATATATATATACATACACAAAGATGTATAGATCGACATTGAAATTGAGAAGAAGAAAAAAAATGGAACTTACGGCTCTAGATGGCTCTAGAATGGAGGCCATCCTGATAGGCTCTTCGAGAAGCAAGTGATTGGCATGCATGTTTGCAGATTGAAACTGTGAAACAACAAAGAAAAATCAAATTATCCCATTTCAATTAGCCATCATCCACATCACTTAAAAAACACAGAACTGAACTCAAACTTACTGAGATTCGAACCGAACAGGGGATTGAACCACGGCCCAGATGGCGAAAAACCCTCTTCAAAATCAAAATCATACCTCAAAATCAAAATCATACCGCAAAATCATGACAAACCTCTTCAAAATCATCAATCAGGGCTCAAATCCCTGTCTCCGTACGGATGATCACCGCAATATATATATATATATATACAGAGACAGAGAGACCGAGGGCAAAGGGTAGAGAGGGAGAGAGCGAGAAACAGAGAGAGAGAGACAGACAAACCGAGGGGATGCGGCGGCGGCAGTGGCGCTAGTAGTGGCGTGCGACGTTGGTCTGAGATGAGGTGAGATTGGGTGAGGATCTTCTAGAAATGAGGAGTCCATTAGACAGAGGGCGATGGCGATTTCCGGCGGTGGCGATGTGCGACGGACGTGAGCAATGGTGGTGAGGAACTTCGGTGAGCTACATAGAGTGGGCACCGATTGATTGAGAGAGAGAACACAGAGAGAGAGAGAGAGGGCAGACCAACATACACAGAGAGCGGGCTGGATAAAGAAGAGATTAGGGCTTTGTTTTCTTTCTTTTTTTTCTCTTTTTTTTTTTTTTCTATTTTCCTAGTACAAAACGACGTCGTTTTAAAAATAGCGACCAAATTTTTTTGTCGCAGAAAAAATTCAATTCCTGCCTGGACAGACTTTCAAATTTGCCTCCTAAACTTTTGGCGACTAAAAGACCAGATTAGTCGCAGAAAAAGTACCTTTGCCGACAAACTTCTTTAGTCGCCAAATCTTAATCAACGGCGACTAAAATATTTGTTGCTAAAAATACTCATTTCGCGACTAATTTATTTTTGGTCGGCAAAATGTGACATTCCGCGACCAAATTTGTAGTTGGTCGCCAAAAGCATACCAATTTCTGCGACTAACTCATTTTTGGTCGCCAAAATGTGACCTTCTGCGACCAACTCATATTTGGTCGCCAAAAATATTGATCATTCGCGACTAATTAATATTTGGTCGCCAAATGTCATTTTTTTGCGACCAAAATTTTTTTGGTCGGCAAAAGTGGTCGCCAAATGTGTAAATTCTTGTAGTGAGAGAAATAATTTTTTATTTCTAAATGAGAAAATGGTGATACATAAAGGATAAAATGTAATTTGCTTTTTCTTAAAAGAGTAATAATGTCATATTCAGTAGTAATGGAATCGGATAAACCCTTTCTACATTTGTATCATTTTTATTTTTTTATTTTTTGAGTTAATTACACTTATCACCTTTACAGTTTCATCGTAATCTTATTTTTGGTCTATTTATTTTCAATTGTGATTGATAGTCAACCTTTTATATTTTAAATTAAGTTACAATGTCATCATTCTATCTATCTACTGTTAATGAAGTTGACGAAAATTAAAATTTTAATGAGAGTGTAAGGATTAAAGTAATTTTGATAAAAATGTAGAAATGTTAATGTGAAAAAAAAAATGCCACTTTTAGCAAATATGACAGGTTCTATCAATCATATTAACTGTAAATGAATAAAAGATATTGTAACTTGACTTAAAGTGAAAGATATTTATCTGACATAATTAAAAGTGAAAATGCCAAAATGACATTACAATAAGTGTAATTAACCCATTTCCTTTCCTTTAATTCCATTCGCTGTGTTTTGGTCAATATGGACTCTGAGGAATGATTGTATTTTCAATGGCAAGCAGCACTGCTTAATGGATGTCTGTGAACTGATCAAAACTAGAATTGCCCTATGGATAAGATCTAATACAAGTCTGTCGCAATACGTCCATGATGTGGTTGAGAATCTGCCCCAGGTGCGTAGGTGTTTGGGAGGCAGGGGTGTGTAATCTTAGAATCTAATGCAGGTGCTCCGGGTGTATATTGATATGGCAGTGAGATCAGTAGGTGTTTTAAGTAAACTTCTGGGGTGAAGTAGTGGAGGTGTTGAGCTGTGGAAGTCTTTTGTTCTGCTGCTGAGTTGTTTGAATCCTGCTGTTGGCTTGCTGATGGTAAAATGTTTGGTAGTTTTGCTCTGTTTTGGTGAAGATGGGCTACTGATAAAAGATGCAATTACTCTGTGGTGAACTATGCTGCTATACAAGGACTGCTGTCTTGATTTATGTTGATCTGCCATCTAGTCTTGTTTTTATTGGGCTCAATTGATTGTTGAGGCCTGCATCTGAATGGAGTTCCTGCTGTTCTGATGTTTGAGTAGCAGATACAACAGTATTGGGTCAATTGAAGTAATGTTGCATTGGTGGGCTGGGGGAGGGGTGGAAAACAAGTGTTTTTGGCAACTGGTATTTCAGGGGAATGATTGAATGCCTTGTTGCTGCAAGTCATTCACCTCATTGTGTTGTTTGCCCCCTGGCTGCATAGGAGTTTGTGTGTGCTTGGCTGTGTTTCTACTGTTTGGTTTTTGAGTGTCTTTTTTTCGATTAGTTTTATTGTTTTTGCGGTTGGATTCTCTCCAACTTTTGATGGTGTGCTAGCAAATGATAGGGCGGACTTATCGGTGCCAACCTAGTTGGGATTGGTTTGTTTCGTTTTGATGCTCTTTGCACTCATCGCTCTCTTTATTGATGTAATACTCTTTTGGTTCATCAATATAATTTATTTAATATTTTTAATAAATTTTTTTTTTTTTTTGCGAAAAAAAAAAAAAAAAAAAAAAATCATGCATCGGTCCAAAATGCTGTGGATCGGTTCAATTTGGTCTATTTGGGTGGATCGAAATATCCTTTGCTCACTCCTAATATTTGTCTAATGTAATAAAAAAAAAAAAAAAAAAACAGCAGCATCAGCAGCAGCTTTGTTAGAAACTCATTGCAATGGCTCTTGCTCTTCTTAAACTTGTAGTTCCAACCTCTTCTCTTTACACTTCAACTAGGATACCATCTCAAAGCTGTGCATCATCACAATCTGCTGCTTCCATTGATCATGGCCGAGCTTTGCGCACCATTCGATGCATTAGTTTGAGCCAAACTTGTGATCTGACGATTGTTAGGCGAACTGCCAACTATAAACCTCCCATTTGGGACTATGACTCTCTGCAGTCACTAAATAGTAAATATGCGTTATATATATGATTTTTGTTAATTTTATTTACTTTCTAAATTGTGTTTCATTTGAAGCAATGTTTTGCTTGCTAACATTAATTAATACTTTTTTTTTAGGGAGATATATATGTAAAGGGTGCTGAAAAGTTGAAGGAAGAAGTGAAGAGAATGCTTGCAGAAGTGGTGGATCCATTGGGTGGACTTGAGATGATTGATGACTTGCAAAGGCTTGGAGTGTTTTATCACTTTGAAGATGAAATAAAGAGAGTGTTGGACAATATTAGAAATGATGATAAGTGGAACAATAAGGATTTACATTCTACAGCTCTTCAATTTAGGCTTTTGAGACAACATGGTTTTAATATACCCCAAGGTACTTCAATGATTCCCTTAACTTTATTTTTTATTAGGGTAAATTATAAACAAAATTTTTAAAATTTGTTTAAAATACGATTTGTCTTTTATGATTTTAAAAATTACATTTTGTCCTCTAATGTTCATAATTTCATAAAAAATAGCCATTTTTATTAATAAATTATTAAGTAAATTAATAGTTTTTAATGATGTTAAAAATTTATTTCAATTAATAATTCAAATAATTTTATTATTGTATAGGAAACAGTTAGGAATTTCATTTTTTTCAACTTATTCTGTTAAATAAAAAATTTTGACAATAAGATATTTATAATTTTTCAAATCATAAAAAATAATTTGTATTTTAAACGAATCTCAAAGAGTACATTTTTTTTTTAATCAGCAAAATAAAAGATTTATTGATGAAAAAGGCAAAGTACATGCAAAAATACATCAACAAATCAGGGAAGTGCACAAACCATCATAGCTAACCTCTACAATCCCAACTAGGTTGGCACTGTGAAGGAAGCAAAATCATATGCAAGCACTTGACCCAAGATTGGTGAAAAGCCAATCAAGAGCAACCAAAAGACGAAAAAACAGAACAACACAGTAAACCAATAAAACGACATAAAACGACACCAGCTTCAAATCAAAATACTTCAGCAGTAGCATACAATAGGCCAAGACAACTACATACAGCAGCAGACAGTCTAATTCTACAACAGTAGCATACACCATCTATAGCAAACAGAACATCAGACGCAAAATAGACCAGAATCAGCAGCCCGATGCTCCACAACCCTTTCCTAACAGCACTCAACCACTTAACACCAGGAACACCTGAACTACCCCTTATACACAAATAGCTTCCTAACACTGCATTAGTAGCAGCAATAGCTCTCCAACCAAAGGCAACAGCTGAACTACCCCTTACAAGCACCTCCTAATCTGATTTAAATTGCACATAAAATCATGCACAGAGTACTGCAGACCTACCACACAACACTTGGCCTAGAAAGCTACCTTTAATTTCACAACTTCCTCCAAATCAGCTAAGTTTACCTGACCACCACTGAAAACAATCTCATTCCTTAAATTCCAAACTGACAACAATAAAACCAAAGGCACAATCTTCCAAATACACATAACTTTCTTCTTGAACCTAGCACCAGCCCACCAATGCAACAGAGCTTCAACCGAACCCGGAATTACCCAACACACATCCCACCAGTTCAATATACCAGCCCACACTTTCCATACTAGCGGAGAGTGGAGGAGAACATGATTGACCGTTTCCTCTTCAGTTCTGCAGAAAACACACAAAGTGCTAGCATTGGCAAACAACACCCTAATTCGATGAAGAAAAACTGTTGTTTTAACTCTGTCCCGCCAAGCTAACTAGCCAAAAAACTGTAATTTTGGAGGTACAGCAACCTGCCATAACCATTTGGCAATGCACAAAGCAGGACCCCTAGCTGCTTGTAGCCACACCCAAACTGATGACACTGTGAACTGATTTGATGTGTTCAATTCCCATGACAGATAGTCATCCGATTGCCCACAACTGCTAAGGGCATCAATCAACCAGTCATGAAGCCTACGCACCTCCTCTTCCTCCCAAACTCTGAGCTGTCTTCTGAACCGTAAATTTCAATCCCCTAAACTACCCCTTCTTTGCCTATACTGCATAACAGAACCGTCCCTATCTTCTGAGATTTAGAACAACCTTGGAAATTCCTCACTAAGCTTACTATTGTTGCACCATTTATCAGTCCAAAATTTCGTTCTCTCCCTATGCCCAACCTTTACTTTTACATTATCAAAATAAAAATCAAGTAACTGAGGATTAACCTAGGCAAGATTAAGGATTCCCTGCCACATTGGAGACACTCTCCTTACATTCCCCAACTCTGGCCACCACCCACCACCAACCCTCCCATATATACTACAAATCACTGCCTTCCACAGTGCCTTATCTTTTGTGCTAAATCTCCATCACCACTTTAACAGTAAACAAACATTCATATCTGCTATGCTTCTAACCCCTAAACCACCTTGCCTTTGAGACTTTATGAGCTCCTGCCACTTTACTAAATGAACTTTCTTCCTCAACTCACCACCCTCCCAAAGAAAAGTAGCCTGTAGCTTCTCAATCAACCTAACCACACCCTTAGGCATTTGGAAGGCTGAAATATAATATAATGGTAAGCAGGACACAACTGACTTAATCAACGTTAATCTCCCTACAAAAGACAACAACTTTCTCTTCCAAAGAGACAACTTGTTCCGCACTTTGTCGATCACTGGCTGCCACTTCCTTTTGGGATTAGCTCCTAAAGGAAGACCCAAATACACCATTGGCAACTTCTGATTTTTGCAGATCAACACAGCAGTAAGGTTATCTATCTCACTGTCTGAAACACCCACCCCACAGACAATGCTCTTGTGGAAATTGATCTTAAGACCCGACATTACTTTAAAGCACCTTAAGACCCTTTTAATGCAAAGAAACTTCAATGCCTCAGCTTCACAAAAAATAATTGTATCGTCTGCAAACTACAGATCTGAGATCACTAAAAAGAAAATACACAATTGGCGACCACTTTGGCCGACTAAAAATATTTTGGTTGCCAAAAGTTGTGGAATTAGCGATCAAAAATTATGTTAGTCGGTAAAAGTACAATATTTAGCTACTAAATTTTTTTAGTCAGGGTATATTAATTTTTGGCGACTAAAAAAAATTTAGTCGCTAAAAATCTCATAATTGGCGACTAAAAATAATTTAGTTGCTAAATTTCCCACAATTGGCGACTAAAAAAATATTTTAGTCGCTGTATAGATAGTTTTGGCAACTAAAATAATTTAGTCGCCGAAAGAAAAATAAAAATTTACTTTTTATCTTTGGTGACCAAAATTTTGGTCGGCAAAAATGTAATTTCAGCGACTAAAAAATATTTTAGTCACTGTATAGATAGTTTTTGCAACTAAAATAATTTAGTCACCGAAAGAAAAATAAAAATTTACTTTTTATCTTTGGTGACCAAAATTTTGGTCGGCAAAAATTTAATTTCAGTGACTAAAAAATATTTTAGTCACTGTATAGATAGTTTTCGCAACTAAAATAATTTAGTCGCCGAAAGAAAAATAAAAATTTATTTTTTATCTTTGGCGACCAAAATTTTGGTCGGCAAAAATGTAATTTCAGCGACTAAAAATTATTTTAGTCGCTGTATAGATAGTTTTGGCAACTAAAATAATTTAGTCACCGAAAGAAAAATAAAAATTTACTTTTTATCTTGGGCGACCAAAATTTTGGTCGGCAAAAATTTAATTTCAGCGACTAAAAAATATTTTAGTCGTTGTATAGATAGTTTTGGCAAATAAAATAATTTAGTCGCCGAAAGAAAAAAATAAAAATTTACTTTTTATCATTGGCGACCAAAATTTTGGTCGGCAAAAATGTAATTTCTGCAACTAAAAAATATTTTAGTCGCGATATAGATAGTTTTGGCAACTAAAATAATTTAGTCGCCGAAAGAAAAATAAAAATTTACTTTTTATCTTTGGCGACCAAAATTTTGGTCGGCAAAAATTTAATTTCAGCGATTAAAAAATATTTTAGTCGATGTATAAATAGTTTTGGCAACTAAAATAATTTAGTCGCCGAAAGAAAAATAAAAATCTACTTTTTTATCTTTGCCGACGAAAATTTTGGTCGGCAAAAATGTAATTTCAGCGACTAAAAAATATTTTAGTCGCTGTATAGATAGTTTTGGCAACTAAAATAATTTAGTTGCTAAAAGAAAAATAAAAATTTACTTTTTATCTTTGGCGACCAAAATTTTGGTTGGCAAAAATTTAATTTCAGCGACTAAAAAATATTTTAGTCGCGGTATAGATAGTTTTGGCAACTAAAATAATTTAGTCGCTGAAAGAAAAATAAACATTTACTTTTTATCTTTGGCGACTAAAATTTTGGTTGGCAAAAATTTAATTTCAGCGACTAAAAAATATTTTTGTCGCTGTATAAATAGTTTTGGCAACTAAAATAATTTAGTCACTGAATGAAAAATAAAAATTTACTTTTTATCTTTGGCGACTAAAATTTTGGTCGGCAAAAATATAATTTCAACGACTAAAAAATATTTTAGTCGCTGTATAGATAGTTTTGGCAACTAAAATAATTTAGTCGCAGAATGAAAAATTAAAATTTACTTTCACTCATCACTCTTTCTCTCTTTTTTTGTCTGTCTGTCTCTCTCTCTCTATCTCTGTCTTTCTTCTCTTTCTCTCTCTTCCACTCATCATTCTTCTTTGTCAGTCTGTCTCTCTCTTTCTCTCTGTGTCTCCAAAATTTATCTCTATCTCTCTTCTCTTTCTCTCTCTCACTCATCACTCTTCTCTGTCTGTCTGTCTGTCTGTCTGTCTCTCTCTCTCTGTGTGTCTCTCGCTCATCTCTCTTCTCTCTATCTCTCTCATCTCTCTCTGTCTCTCTTCTCTTTATCTCTCTCACTCTCTCGCTCATCTCTCCTTGTATCTCTCTCCTTTATCTCTTTTCGTTTTTTTTCTCTTTCTCTCTTTGTCTGTCTTTTTTCACCCATTTTTTCATCTTCCTCTCTCTATTCTCTTTCTCTCTCTTACTCATCACTCTTCTCTTTCTATCTGTCTGTCTATCTGTCTCTCTCTCTCTCTGTGTGTCTCTCACTCATCTATCTCTTCTCTCATCTATTTTCTCTTTCTGTATCTTTCGTTCATCTCTCTTCTCTCTATCTCTCTTTCTCATCTCTCTTCTTTCGCTCTCTCTCATCTCTCTTTTCTTTCTGTCTCTCTCGTTCATCTCTCTTATCTCTATCTCTCTCTCTATTTCTCTCGTTCATCTCTCTTCTCCCTATGTCTCTCTCGCTCATCTCTCTTCTCTCTATCTCTCTCTCTGTCTCTCTCGTTCATCTCTCCTCTCTCTCTGTGTCTTTTATTGTCTCTCACTCTCTATCTCTCTCTTTTTGTCTCTCTCTCTTTCTCTCTCTCTCTCTTCTTTTCCTCTCTCTCACTCATCACTCTTCTCTGTCTGTCTGTCTGTCTTTGTCTCTGTCTTTGTCTTTGTCTCTCGCTCATCTCTCTTCTCTCTATCTCTCTTATTTTTTTCTTTCTCTATCTCTCTCACTCATTTCTCTTCTCTCTATCTCTCTCTCCTGCTCATCTTTCTTCTCTCTATCTTTCTTTTTTTCTATGTCTTTCTCTCGATCATCTCTTTTCGCTCTCTTTCTCTCTCTCTCTTTGTCTATCTCTCACTCATCTCTTGTTTCTCTCTGTCTCTGTCTATATTTCTTTCTCTCTCTCTATCTCTTTCTCTCTCTATCTCTCTCTCACTCATCACTCTTCTCTCTCTATGTCTGTCTGTCTCTCACTCTTCTTTCTCTCTATTTCTTTGTATGTGTGTGTCTGTCTGTTTGTCTCTCTCCCCTATTGTGTTCACTTTGCTCACTCTCTCATTTCTCTCTTCTTTATTTATCGAGCTCTTCACTACAAGAAAATGCACTTTTAGTGACCACTTTGTCTCTCTCTCACTTATCACTCTATCTCTCTCTTTCTTTCTCTCTCTCTCTTTCTCTCTGTGTGTCTGTCTGTCTGTCTCTCTCCTCTATTGTGCTCACTTTGCTCACTCTCTCCTTTCCATCTTCTCTATTTACCGAGCTCTTCACTACAAGAAAATGCATTTTTAGTGACCACTTTGTCTCTCTCTCACTTATCACTTTGTCTCTGTCTCTGTCTCTCTCTCACTCATCTCTCTCTCACCACCCATTATTACCATTGTTGCCACTCTACCTCTACGACTACCATTACTACCACCATCGTTACCACTCCACTACCACCACTACTACTGCTATTACCTCTCCTCTACCACCGCCACTCCATCTCCTCTACTACTACCACAACTTCACCACTAATCTTCTTCGCCATTACCATGATCATCTATTTTCACTCTCTTTCATTCTCTCTTTGTCTATCTCTCACTCATCTTTTGTTTCTCTCTGTCTCTGTCTCTATCTCTTTCTCTCTCTGTCCCTCTCTATCTCTATCTCTTTCTCTTTCTGTCTCTCTCTCACTCATCGCTCTTCTCTCTCTCTTTCTCTCTCTATGTCTGTCTATCTGTCTCTCACTCTTCTATCTCTGTTTCTCTCTGTGTGTCTATCCATTTGTCTGTCTCTCTCCCCCATTGTGTTTACTTTGCTCACTCTCTCCCTCCCATCTTCTCTATTTACTGAGGTCTTTAGTACAAGAAATGCACTTTTAGCGACCACTTTGTCTCTCTCTCGCTCATCACTCTGTCTCTGTCTTTGTCTCTCTCTATCTCTCTGCTCTATTTGTCTCTTACTCATCTCTCTCTCACCACCCATCTCCTCTACCACATTCACTACTACTGCAAATGTCATTCCACTACCAGCATTATTACCATTGTTGCCACTCCACCTCTACGATTACCATTACTACCACCGTCGTTACCACTACTACTACTATTACCTCTCCTTTACTACCACCACTCCATCTCTTCTATCACTACCACAACTCCACCACTAATCTCCTTTGCCACCACCACCACCACCATCACCTCTTATCTACCACCTTCACCACTATTGTCGCTCCCTCTCCTCTACCACAAAAAAATAGTTCTTGATTTTTAGTAACAAAAAAAAAATGGGCCACAAAAAAATATTTTTCATTGACCATAAAAAATTAATTTTATTTTAACGAAAAATATTTTTCATTAAAATATTACCCTTACTCCTACCAAACAGAAAAAAAATTCATTAAAATAAAAATGAAACAAAATTTCCCCCTTTTTTCACTGACCCGCCCGCCCAAACTTAATTTCCCCCATTTTTTCCCATTGTCTTTCCCCTTATTTTTTCATTTCCTTTCAGGTTTGCAGAGCCCTAAGTTTTGAAACACTGTCTCTCTCTCTCTCATAAAGGCGAGCGACGAGCGGCGAATTTTGGTTTGGACGAGCGACCAGCAGGACCATGAGTCTCGACAAGGGTCAGCTTCTCGAGACCGAGCAAATGTTCCGTGACGCCGGTGAGCAGTGGCCTGTTATTATTCCCGAGGAGGAGATCCGCCAAGCAGCCCCTGGTACTAAGGTAACAGTTTCACTCTCAAACCAGCCGTATTTTCTCATTCTTTTGAGGACCCATTACTGTGATTATTGTGTGCTTGGCCCTTGAAAGGTCTACCATATATCCCTCGAACTATACTCATTACATCAGAAGCATCATTTTCCTTTTCTGAGATACATTTCTGAGACTCATCTGAAATTGATTCACTAGCTTGGTCTTTTGAATCAATCACTTGACTGCTTCTATCAGCCCTGGCTTTTTTTGTCGAAGCTTTCAAAACTTCAGTTTTGGTTTCTACATCCCCAGCAACTGTATGAGCATCATCACTAATAGACAAGGAAAAAATGAGAAAAATATAAGTAATTAGGGCCAATAACGACAATAATAATTAAGTAATTGTGGGAATTTTCTTATGCAAAAGAGAAATAAACAAACTAAATGGGACAATTTTTTTTTCTTTTTTTGATAAATAAGCAAACTAAATGGGGCAATTGACACTCTACATGTATAAAGGCAACAAATTGAAGGAATTTTAAGCCTCCCAACAAATCAAGATAAATGAATGAGAAGGTCAATATTGTTTGGTAGGCCATAAAAACATGATAACACAGTTCATCTTTGTTGATATCATACAATTTTGACATTGATGACCCACAGAAGCTTGTTCTTTTTTTGGATTCAATTATTTGGATTCCCAACAGGTGAAATTACTACTAAACCTTCGACAGTCTAAACCAGGGTAGTTCACTGTCATGACAACTAGTTTCCAGAATTAATAGTTGTGCTGCATCATGCATGCCATTTATGATCAAATCTTGTCATAGTTGTGGCATGGTTCCTACAAGTACAATTAGTGAAACATCTCATGCAGCAACAGTCCAGATTTTTTAGCTTCCCAAATATTACTCAGTTGGGTTGAAACACCATAGGAAATCACAGAAACACCAAAGAAGCCTAATTCCTATAGTCAGGTTCAATGATTCATTCTCTTATTTAGATGTTCTTCATAGCTTGCAATCATAGCTACACAATTGTACATTTGAACTCTTTGGTTTAGTTGAATGGATTCACCATAGATGCTTGTTTGGCTTATTTAGTTACTTTTTCTTGGATAGGCTCAGTATTGTTTTGGGCATAATTCATCTTTGTTTGTGCATGATTTGATGGTTTGCTTCAAGAAAAGTTTCTTTATAATGGGGCTTTTGGAGTAAAACTATGATTTATGATCTCAAGATTTATAACTTGCATATGAATTGTCTGATAAGCCTTCTATGTATTTAATTTGCAATCTAATTTCCTGAATCTAGACTACCAAAATTGCAATTTATGATACAAGGAAAATAATCCTTGAACTCTGTTTCATGCTTTTTGTTCATATGCTTTTGGACCATAAAATTTTCATCATTAAAATTTTCATCACTCTTGATTCTTGTGTTCATATTCAACTAGTAGTGTCTTCACATCAAATCAAGCTGCTCGTCATTAGTGAGTATTCTGTGTTGTGTCACATAACCTTGAGAACTGTTCTTATTTTATCTTTGTTTATTGTTGCCTCATAACTCTTGCAAACGCATTCATCAATTTGTTTTTTTATGCTACTGTTATCATCCTCAAGATAGTTACCTCTCATTCCTATGAACATCATTGTTCAAGTTATTTTCATTTCTTTGCACATTCTTCCTCTGACGCACAAAAGATGTACTTCAGGCTGAACAGTGGTGTAAGCCTCTTGAGATTGTTAACTTTTGATGTCTGATCTGCTTGATTCATCTCCTGGAATCATTTTGTACTATGCAAGAAAGCGTGCATCTGTTTTGTCAATTTAGTAAATGAAAGATAAATAGGGATTTAACTATAGTTTTCATAACTTGATGGAATGATTAGGTAAGATTTCTATGTATAATTTTTGTTACTTCATGTAATCTATGTGAGTGCTAACATATATGCATTGGCAGCACAATGAAAAGTCTTCATCAGCTGGTTTAATTGGCAATGACAACACTGCATCTGTGCTGAAATCACTGCCAAATTACAAATAAGAGTGATACACTTTATGTGGATGGATTTTATATTGCAAGGAATTGATACAGGTCCCCAAACTTTCGATGTCTATAAAATCAGCCACTAGCCAGTCTCTTTGAGATGCCTATCCTTGCATATCCTATCTTAACTTCATGCTTGATTCTCTGCTGTACTGGTTTGGTGTTTAACCTTTTATGGTTGAATACAAAACATCCTCAGTTACTTTACGAATCAAAGTAATGCAGAATTCTACAGGGAGGAAGTAATGACTATTTTTATTAATTTATTATTTTAGTGGGACAATTGATCTGTTATGAGCTCTTTTGCTCATATATTTGATACTCTTTTCTGTTTATAACACTTCTGAAATATTACAGCTGGAATTCCGCATGTGAGATGGTTTGGAGTGGAGGGAGACTACAATGTTCTAGTGATGGATTTGCTTGGACCCAGTGTTGAAGATTTGTTCAATTTTTGGAGTAGGAAACTTTCTTTAAAGACTATTCTTATGCTTGCAGATCAAATGGTAACTGCATTTGATTTAATGCATACTATTATTGCATTTAGATAATTATAAGTCTATCAACACTTGTACCTAGTATTTATTTCAGATCAATCGAGTTGAGTCTGTCCATTCTAAATCCTTTTTACATCGGGATATCAAGCCAGACAATTTTCTTATGGGCTTGGCAAGGCGTGTAACCTAAGTTCCCCGTCAAAACTTCCATCTTTGTGCTGGTTAAAAATTTTTCCCCCAATATCTGTGTTTATTAGTCCTTCCATTTCTCTTTTTTTTTAGGTCTACATCATTGGCTTTGGTCTGGCTAAAAAATATAGAGACACTACGACCCACCAACACATTCCTTACAGGTGAGTTGATTTTGATTAGTTTATTATTTAATGGATCCTGGTTGCCATCTATGCTCTCATGAACACATAAACACACTACACGTTAGCTCTGTTCTTTTTCAGATACTCTTTAGTTAATGTAGGGTCAACAATTGATATACGAATAAGTTTAGGAATACAAAAACCGATCACAAAATCGAACACAATATATGTGAAAGGACAAGTTTTTTCACAAACCAACTTTTTAAAAATCTTGTCTATTTATATGTATTATGTGTTTATTTCTGTCTGTAACACGGGAACAAGTCCAGAAACACAGAAACCGATCACAAAATTTTATATAAGATTTTTTAAAAATGGGCTCTCCCAACTCTTAAAAATCTTATCTATATGTATTTTGTATTTGGTTTTTGTGTTGATAACAGAACTGAATAGAGAGAAAAAGATGAGAGAATTAGAATGAACTAAGACTTACCATAGTCTGTAGTTAGATGGTATAGAGACCAAATGGTTGTGAAGTGGGTGATGCCTTTGTGCACATAAAAGAGACCTATGTATACATCTCTGTTATCACCCTAGTCTATTGACATTTTATTCGATAATTTATCTTTCTTTTTCTGTCTATGGACATTTTATTCTATAATTTATCTTTGTTTTTCTGTCTATGGACATTTTATTCTATAATTTATCTCTCTCTCTCAATAAAGATACAACTTTATCTACTTTTACCATATCCTTAATTTTGTGTTTTTTTTGCCTCTCAATCCATTCACATCACGAATTCCTAGGTTGAAGGAGCAGGAAAATCCAAAATACTACCTTTACAGGTCTTCATCAGCTGCCTAAGAAAAATTCCATAATCGAATTTAACAAGTTCTGTTTTCATTTGAATATCCAATTCTTGCATTTTAATTCCATATGTGATTTCATTCCATTGATCAATTTCTTCAATTTTAGTTTTAGTTTTTGTTGGTTTCACATCTATCTCAACTCACTGATAGTATCGGTACATTAGATTCATTTCTATGTTTTCTTTTAGTTCTAGGGTTTTTTTTTTTTTTTTTGGTTTCATTCACAATAGGACCTTGCTATCTGAGGATAAGTTAGAAAATCAGACATAAGAAAAAGAAAAATAAAAGAGAGAGAGAGAGAAAGAGAGAGAGAGAAGAAATAAAGAATTTTGTATCTTTGTATGTTCGTATCTTCTTCACATTTTGAATTATGTAGTACAAGTACTTGAGTTACAAGTATTCCTGCAACTGTGCTTATTACAACTTTGTGCAGTAGAATTTTAGTTTTCTAAAAACCAATTACAAGATGAAACTCAAGATTTTCCTTTTTACCCTTTTCTTTTTTCTTTTATTTTCTTAGGTAGTTGTTGAGCATATGGTATATAGTTGTTCAAATAGTTTTTAATTTCTTATCTAAATCTGAGAAATGAAGAACTGTATTGGCTATTTAGCTGATGGTTGGTGGTTATTGTGGCTGAATGGGCCACTTTGCAGTCTTCACAAAGGTTGCTAGCCATGGTTCTGAACATTGGCCATTTCGTCGCGAATTTGCTAATGGGTATCTAGTTTTTAACTTGTAACTCCTGCCTAGATTATTTAGAGTGACGTGTAACAAGGCATTGTGGTTTCCCTAATAGATAGCTTTTGTTGAAAAATTGAGTATCTTATCTTATCTGTTTCACTAATTGATTTGTATGTCTTTCTCTTTGCAGCTGGCAGAAGCAACAAAAGCACAACTTTCATGTGATTACAGTGATTACCTTGCTCTTGTCCGAGCTTATGAGGGCTGGAAAAAGCCTGAAAGAGACGTAGCTGGATATGAATACTACTAGAAGAATTTTCTTTCTGCTCAATCAATGAAAGCTATTGATGCTCTGCGAAGGGAGTTCTACTCTTCACTTAAGGAATATGTTTTAAATTTTAATGCTAGATGGATGTGAATTGGATGATTATATGGATTGCAAGGGGGTTTTTAATTGAAGGAATATATAGTTTGGAATTACTTGTGGAAGAAAATTTGTAATAGTTGCTAACTTTAATTAAACAGGTTTAGAATTAATGATTTATATATTTTGTTGAATGGTCATGATTCAGGTGAATTGTTGGTTTGATTGATTATTGTAAGTTACAGATTGTATTGAATGGATTGGATAGATTATTATGAATTACAAGTTTATTTTGTTGTACGTTGGCATAAACATTCCTTTTGGAGACCAAGCTTTTTGGTCGTGGAATGTGACAATTAGCTACCAAACTAAGACGTCGTAGAATGTCACAATTGGTGACCAAAATTTTTAGACACTAAATGGATTAGTCGCAGTAATGATATATTTAGCGACTAAAAATTTAGTTGGCAAATCTAACTTTTTCCCGACTAACAAAAGTGTTGGTTGCTAATTACTTTTGCCGACCCTCAATTGGCGACCAAAGTGGCGACCAAAAAAATTGGTTGCGAATAGCTTTTGCCAAACAAATTTTTAGTCGGCAAAAATGCAATTTCCTGTAGTGATTGCCGACCAATCTTTTTGGTCGTGGAATGTGCCATTTGCCGACTAAACTTGTTGGTCGTGGAATGTATTGCCGACCAAATTTTTTGGTTGCGGAATGTGAAAATTGGCGACCAAATTTGTTGGTCGTGGAAATGGGCCATTTGCCGACCAAACTTGTTGGTCGTGGAATGTATTGCCGACCAAAATTTTTGGTTGCGGAATGTGAAAATTGGCGACCAAACTATTTTTTCGTTGAATGTGCGAATTGGCGACTAACATGTTTGGTTGGGAAAATATGACTTTTTGCGACTAAAGTGTTTTAGCTACTAAATGGATTAGTCGCAGTAATTATATATTTAGCGACCAAAAATTTAGTCGGCAAATATAACTTTTTCGCGACTAAAATTTTTTTTAGTCGCTAATTACTTTCCGCGACCCTCAATTGCCGACCAAAGTGGCGACCAAAAATATTAGTCGCGGATAACTTTTGCCGACTAAAAATAAACTTTTGCCGACCAAATTTTTAGTCGGCAAAAGTGCGAATTCTTGTAGTGGATGCTCATGGTAGTAGATCCCACTGAAGCGTCCTTAAACAATCCCAACTACTTAGCTCAACTCAGAAGCAAATTAAGGCCCTCAACCACAATATTAAATAAGAATGGTGAGAGTGGATCACCCTGCCTCAAACCCTTTTGTGGTACAAACTCATTAGTGGGTGACCCATTAACCAAAACAGAGATCCTGAAAGAGGTTATACACTCATTAATCTAGCATGTCGACTTCTCATCAAATCCAAAATTACATAACATTGAAAACAAAAAATCCCAATTCACAGAGTCATATGCCTTTTCAAAGTCAAGCTTCAGAATCACACCCTTGTGCTTCGAGCATTTCCACCATTCAATAACTTCATTAGCAATCATGACCCCATCTAGTATACATCAACCCCCTATAAATGTTGTCAGAGCCTTATTAATCATTGTAGGGATCACCTTTTTCAGCCTCCTAGATAAAACGTTGGCCAGAATTTTGTAGATTGAATTCACTAGACTGATCGGCCTAAAGTCCACCAACTCCACAACATTTTCCTTCTTAGATACAAGAGTAATGAATGAACTGTTTAAACCTTTGGCCAATTTCCCATTTGCATAGAACTCCTGCATGAATTGCATAACCTCATCTTTCATGACTTTCCAATTTTTCTGAATACACGCAAGATTGAACCCGTCTGGCCCTGGAGCTTTGTTACCGTCACATTCCGTCACAGCAGCCCATACCTCTTGCGCTGTGAACTCAGCTACTAACTCGTTTGAAGCCCCACCCCTACCAATAGTGGTAAAAGGCCCCTCCAATTTTGGTTTACCTCTCCACGCCTCGAAATACAAATCCTTAAAATGCTTAAACACCACTTGTCTTACCATTCTCGGTTTCCCAAGACTTACCCCATCCACAACAACAGAATCTAACACATTCTTGCTCTGCCTCCTACTAGCCATCGCATGAAAGAATCGTGTGTTTTTGTCCCCCTCTTGAGCCCACTTAAGCCTAGATTTTTGCCTCCACATCCATTCTAGTCTTCTACTAAAATTCCAAACTAGAGTCCTCTACTCATGTCTTCTAGCATTGATAGTGTCCAGCAGCGGCCCTTTTTCAACTAGCAAATTAATCTCATGTAACTCCTCTTCTGCTACTTTTAACTTGTGCTCCACATTTCCAAAAACTTCGACATTCTATTTTTTTAAATCCAACTTGAGCTTTGCCAACTTACCTTTCAATCTATACCCTGCCCACCCAATAACAGTTGTCTCTTTCCAAGACTTCTTAACCAATGGCTTAAAATCAGGATGAAGAAACCAGGCATTTAAAAACCTAAATGGTCTAGGACCCCAATCCCTACCGTCTTTTATGGGCAATAAAGGACAATGATCAGACAGACTTCTTGGCATTCCCCATTGCTTAAACCTAAACACTTCCAACCATTCAGGATCCAACACAAACCGAGCAATCCTACTCCAATGCTCACCATCAGTAGAGTTACACCAAGTGAAACCCCTTCCTAACAGGGGCAAATCAACCAACTCCATCTTCTCTATGAAGACATTAAAATCAATCATGCCTTTGTCGCGCCTCAGACAACCCTCTTTCACTCAAAAATCTAACTTCATTAAAATCCCCCCTTATACACCAGGGGAGCTAAAAAGATGACTTTAACCTAAGTAACACATCCCATAGATGACCTCTTTTCCTACCATTATTTGGTGCATATATGTTGACGATCACACAATGAAATGAGTGATTCTATGTACTTGACAGTAAAATGAAAGACGTTGCACTGCAACACTCCTCAATCTTGAAGACATTTGGATTCCAAACACACAATAGTCCCCCTGCACTACCTTCGGAATCCATTGCCATAAACTGCAAAGATTCCCAAGGCCATAATGACTTCACAAACCTGACATCCACACTACTCTTTGTAGACTCCTGCAATAGAAGAACATCAATCTTCCTGTCACTGACTATCTTCTTAATCTTCGTCTTTTTGTTGTTTCTCCCTAATCCCCTAATATTCCAAGACATCATCTTCATAAGCACGGCATACTGCACCTAGATCTCCCATCTGATATAAGCTCAAATTGGACCAGTCTTTCCCTCAACCCCAGCTTGTCCTTGATCCTTAACTTCCATCTCTACAATACAATTAATAATCTCCTCCTCCTTACCGTGACAGTTCATCCCCAGCAGTTTACCCACATACATCGTAGCTCGGGCTTCCTTAATCAACAAATTCCTTCGGAAAGCCTCACCTTTCTAAGATAAGGAGAGAGATAGAGCAGTAGCCGCAGCTCGAAAGACAGTTCCTCTCGAAAAGCTACACAAAGTTCCCGTGGCCAACCTTCTTCTCATATGTACATCCTTCCGTGCTACAGCTCTTCTCCTAAGCTTACTACCCTCCACCCTACCTTTTTGAGCCACATCCTTACCTAATCCAACCTCTAAATCCATTGTTTTTAACCCTGGCCTAACAGAAGAATGTAACAAACCCCTAACATTTGGGTCATCCCCTTGCCCACCCAATACCCCAAATTGGGCCTGATTTAACACCACCTCCAAATTAACACTGGGCCTATCCTTCTCAAACCCACTAATACTTCTTTAAAAGCCTTTGTAACTATATCCCCATCCATTCTTTGCGATCTACTCTACTCTTCTACCCACGACTCTTCCCCTACTCCCACCTCCTTCTCATTCAAACAACCACCCTCAGAGACTTTTCCAACCCCAACTCAATCTCATTAATTGTGGATTCAAACACACCATCGTTGCATATTCCCACACCGGGCAGTGCAGCATTACTATTAGCCACCTCCATGGCACGCTCAGCCACCTTTACCAAATCCCTGTTTGCCACCTGGCCCTTTGGCACCACCTCAGCACCAGTGTTTGCCACCTCTCTCCCCTCACCTTCCGCAACTACATCGCCATTAACAGAGGACTGCTCAGCAGAGGTGATAGCCTTAACATCATCACTCATCCTGCTACTACCCATACCACTGTAAGGAAACTCCATTGCCTCACACACTCTAACGGGAATAAGTCTTCCATTACAATTCAATTGGATCATCCTATTAATAACTTCCAAAGACTATGTAATAACTGTAACTTTCCCACACTGGAATGATGTCATTCTACTTGTATCCTCGTCAATTTGCACTACCTCACCCCAAACACTACCAATCCTTGTAAACGTATTCGCACTCCATAAATGAAATAGGACACCAAAGCAAACAATCCAAACATATCTCTCCTGAGCTCCAATAACCCCTTGTCTCTCCTCTATGGCGGTCTCACACCAATCATTAATCCATATCTTCAGACTGCCAACCCCCTCATTCAAAGCTTGTTTTAAACTAAATGTCAACACTGCTATCCTACCCCCCCTTCACGAACAATAACATCCTTCAACCCTCGTCTACTATTCTCCTCCTTAAAGTCAGAGAATAAGAAGCCAGCTTTTAACTTAACAAACACGCTCTCATATAACCAACCATTACCTTCTTCTTTAGTTACAACCGTGATCACATCTTTCCATTGACCCTCCCCTTTAGATACTACCTCAGCAAAGGTTCTCTAGTCTCTCCATGCTACCCTATTTGACATCTGAAGCTTCTCCTCACCTCTCACCGTAGCCACATCCACGTCCACCCCCCATTGCACCTTCTGCGGAAAGTTATTAACCTTGTCATACAGCACCTTACCCCCTTCTCTACCTTAGTAAACTCGACATTCTTGACTTTCAATCTTTCATCATCACACCATAGTCCATCCACCTTCTAAACTGCAACACCCACCGCTACTGGACAGTCATAACGAACGAATCCAAATCTTGAGCCCGTAACTTGCCTCCTCTTCATTGGGATGAAAACGTCCTTTACAACACCAAATTTGCTAAACATAGTGAAAAGATTCCTCGAGCTCATATTTTCGGGGATATCATCAACAAACAACGTTACTAGACCCGACTCCACTGCTGGTCCACCTAGTTTTCTTCCCCATCTTCTCCTCAACACCGGTTTCTATCCTCCTTCCATCTACTCTCGGCTTAAACTTTTGAAAGTAAAGAGTACATTTATAATTTACCTTTTTATTATTTATTATTGTTTGGTTTTTGTGTTATGATGGTTTTACCTATAGGCCAATACTTCTTGATTTTTTTTTTTCACATATGTATTGGCCAATTCGTGATAAATCACTTTATATTTAATGCATACATTATAATATATAAGAGTTTTAGAGATTAAATTTCTTAATTGTTAAAAGTAAAAAATTTGTTGTAAAAGACATTTAAGGACCAATTTTTATCGTCATGATGATAGTTGTTTAAAGATCGTCCTGAAAAGTAAAAAATAAGGTTTTTAGCGACAAAATTTTGAAAATGTCAAAATATACTTTTAGAGACAAGATAATTTGGTCTCAAAAGAGTTTGGGTATGTTTGGTTTGCATTTGGGAGATGAGTTTTAGAAAAAAAATTTTAAAAAATTGTTTGGTTTGAGTTTTTCTCAAAAAAATTTCAAAATCACTTTTTCTCTCTTACACATCAATCAATCACTTTTTTTCTCTCCTCTCTCATTCTCAATCACTTTTTCTCTCACACACATCTACTCAAATTCTTCCAAAATATCAAATCATCCCAAACTCTCAAAAAAACAACTCTCTCAAAATATACAACCAAACAAACCAAAAAATTTCTAAATTCTCTCCCTAAATTTTTTTTCAAAAACAACTCTCCCAAAAACAAACCAAACAAGCCCTTTATTTTTTGAGACAAAAAATTTGGTTCCAAAAAGATAATAATTCACCACTAATGTCTACTTTTCGTTACTAAAAATATAATAACGATACTTGTCGTAACAAAAATTTTTGATACCTACAAAATAATTTTATTCCTAAATTTTAATTGCTAAAATCTTAATTTTCTGTAGTGACATTAACTCACAACCGATAAGCCCTGTTCGGCAGTGTTGGGTGGTGGGTTTTTCCAATAGGCGGTAATAAATTGTTGTGAAATAAACCACATACACAAATAATAACAAGAAGAATCAATCATATATAAGAAAATATCAATAAAATTGCTCATGTTTATAGCTCATACTAGTTTCATTAGCTAAAAGAAAAGAAAAGGATATGCAGTTGCTGTGAGTACAATAATATATATATATACTTTGACTCTTTATATTTTAAGTTTTCTCAGTTTACTCTTATAGTTAATTTATAGCGATCCCGGGTTTACCCTTGTTTAAGCCCGTAGGGCATTTTGTTATGAGATTAACATGTAATACTTATGTAATGGAATTCTAATGAATGATAGAAGGTGGTTAGTTTATCTATCAACGCTTGTCTTATTTGTTGGGTTTAATGTTATTATTTTGAGGGCGTTACATAATTTTCGTTCAAAGCTAAACAAAAAATGTCATGTTAATTGCCACTTAGTATAAAAAATATATTATCATATTTGGGTTTGGGTTTGGGTTGGGGTTTGGGTTAGATGAATGGGTTATATATTGTTACCCAAAAGACAACCAAGAGAGGGAGTAAATTGAGTTTCTAATTAAATTGTTAAATTAAAAGTATTAACCCAATATATAAACAAATAAATTTGTGCAACAATATACAAAAGTAAAATGAGCAAAGGGATAAGAAAGCAAACACATAATTTATAGTGGTTCAGTTCAAATAAATCATACGTCAAATTCTCAAAATTCTCCTTGAGATTTCTCCACTTTTAATCAAATAGCATTACACCAACTAGTTTTAAATCCGGTACCAATCACATCTAAGCAAGTGATCACTACCGACCATTCCAATGACTAGTTTAGAATTCTGTACTTAGTCACATCTAACCCAAATAATTTTATTATAATTATAAAAAATCACTCACAAAAATATCTCTGTTTACAAGAATAGAGTACAGACTAGAAAATCCTTTTACAACTA